CAAAATATTGAATATATACAACGCGTCAAAATGCTTGAATCCAGTGTTTCTACCTTTATGCACTCAACGACATTTTTGTTCGGTGCTTTATTCTGATGGTGAGCGTCACGACTGTTTAATAACAATGGCCTTAATATTTGGTCTGGTAGGTTTCGTGTCACCCTACGTAATGGCGATAACCAACTGACCTTTTTTGTGGTCGTTTCATGTACTTCCACTGTTAATAAACCATCTGTGGCATTCATCTTGTTTATCCACATATTTTACAACCGAAAGTCGTATAAGTAATCAAATATATTGACTCTTACTTAAGTCGATAATAACTGCACATTTCAACAAAAACTGATGCAATTGTACTACAAGGACATTGATAAGTAGCTGAGGCACTTAAGACGTCAATCCGAATTAGAGTCCAGACGGTCCAAAGAATCTAGATCAGGGTCACAGACAAACGAGATTCATTAAAAGAGAGACAGCTTTGTTGGAGTCCAAACTTAGAGGATAATATAGAGTAAGTGTCCTCAGAGGACAAACAAAAATCGTGAGTTACTGCTATTAAGGTAATGTTCTGGTCAGCGCGAACTTAAAAAAGACATAGAGATCATTATCTAGAAACATTTTACGTATTTTCTGTCCATTCCATTTGTAAACAGAACACAGAATTAAAGAAGAGCAGGCAAAAACAAAGGGAAAGACTGTGTATCACGTTAGGTCTTTTGGTCTATTAGGGAAAAAACGCGATTATGCAGGGGTCCACCTCAATACAGCAGACTGGAGTTCTCGGATAAAAATAGCCCCGACCTGCAGGGGTATCCGTATCTCATAGTCAGTCCCCTCTCACGATAGGGATACACTACGGATATTCTTTCTCACTATATAGAAGTTATTTTCTTACAAACACGAACTTTCGCAGTTTTTTTTTATACAAAATTAGATGAAGAATATACTATGTTTAGTCCATGTATATGAACTGACAAGTTTAGAAAGCTAGAATTTTGAGCTTGTGAATTCCTTTATCAACTGGTATAACATGGTATATAAGCACATGTGTATGATAATTGGAAACTTCGTATACCTCGTCGTAAATAAAGATTTAATTAATTCACTGTTTAATGTCACAGGTTTAAATCTTAAGATACATTTCATTACTGCGAATCTAGTCCTTTTTTCTACGAAGAAACAAAATACCGAAAAAAGATACTTTGAAAATAAAATGAAAATGCATCCTTTTTGCTACAACTGTTTAGTAAGACCACGAAAATTTGAATTAAAAAACAAAAAATCCTAGTTTGAAATGTGTAGCGTTTTTCAAGAGGACATTCTGTGTTAGCACCGTTAGTCCTTGGTCTGATTACTCGTGTTTTTGTGAAATCATCTGGAAATGTTAGCGACACAAGAGGTACTCAAGCGTTTAATTGAGTTATTGAACCTTGTACACAGTTCCTGTGAGGAACAGTTCTTCAGTAAAAGTTTATTTGTGGTATGGTAAAAAACAAAGTCGATTTCTCTCAACTTCTCAAATATATATATATATATATAACTGATTACTGGTGTAGCTCTGTTGCAGGAAATTAAAAAAACTGGCAAAACATTATGACAATATTGAGTAGATTGTATGTATGCTGCTAAAAATTAATCAACTTCGATTTAAAATCAAAAATGTAAATTTATAAATTGTTTTAAAATGTACACCAAATAGCTTTCTGTTTTAAACATGACCAAAGTCCGCCATGCTAAATATGAAATGTTTTATCAGATAATTTTTTTTTTTTTTTTTTTTATTTTTCTTGAATTTTAAAAATAATGCATTGAAATGTGACTAGATGTCGCTCGACATTTCATCTACAAGCAATGTGTGACTTTTATAGGATACCCACATTATTACTGACTCCTTATGTCACGCATTGAGCTTCAGACTACAGGCAGTTTCGTTAAATATACCGACCTAATTACATATGAATCACATCATTGTTTGAAACATCTACACTGCCTAATGGCCTTTAAATTAACCTGACTGGTATGTATATTTTCTGTAACATTGCCCGTTCCCTCACACGTGCTGGGATTAATCTGTATGCTAGTGAACTTTTAAACCGGACACAAAAACATTACTTTTCCTGAGAAAACGAAAAAAAATACATTTCTCAACCAAAAGAACGGTAAATAAACAATCAAACACAGACATACAGATTAAATTCAGTATTTATACTCCATATTTTTCCATTTCTCTATGCTTGCGTCGAAAAAGGATGAGATTTTCATGTGCATGGATAAGACAGTCTCTAAGGATTTGAAGTAGAGTTTTTTTTCTTTGCAATGGCATCACGAGACAGGCTAACCATATTCATGATTGTGCCGTTAATTTATTACCCTTGTCTAGACGCTTTCAGCCTGACGAGAAGAGCAGGTGTAAAATTGCCGTTTAAACTGTACTCCGGAAATATGGCACTGAATTCAAGTACACGTTTATACCAAAAGCTAGAAGGGAATTGCTAGCATTGCATTTTGCTCACACAATCATGATATCGTTCTTGTCTGTTTTGGCAAATTTAGTCATCGGCAGTTAAACAACGCCAGAAGACGTGACAATTTCTCTTGCCTAAGGTTAATGATACATTCATCTAAGACCTTAACTGGGACAACGCCTTATCCTTAGGATATAAAACATCACCAGCATTTATTTTCGTCCGCATGGTGAAGAAGAAACAAAACAAAATAAAAGTTCAAGATAGCAATAAAATTTCATATCGAAGACTTAAACATGGTATGAATTTTGTCGTTTACTTTGTCGTTGAGCACATAAATGGAGTGGTATTTCTTGAGGAGGAAAAGACACATAGTTGTACGTATGCCGATTACAAAATTATAAATTTTAAAAATGAAATAAATGTTCTTTCCTTCACAAACTTTCCGCCAAACTGCAGTAGGCAGTTTAGGTTGTAGGTAAACAAAAGACATTATACACTTCGCCACAAAAATCACTTTCTGACAGTCGGCATGCAATTTGTACAAGGAAATATTGTAATTTATATTCATAGTCTGTATCATATGGACCAATTATTGCTTTCATTTCAAATTAACTTACTACCTGACATGTAAGAAATACGTCTCGGTCATCACTAGAAAACATTACAGATATGGTGTTTTATGCAAATGTATTCTTTAAAGCTATAGACTAAACGTATATTTATATAGCTTTTCATAAGATATATTTAAAGATATTGCATAAGTTTCAATCTATTCTGTCCCGGCCACCTTTGATATTTCTTACATACAGGAAATGGTAATAAAGAAAAATTAAATTTTTTTTTTCATTCTTGAACGACCTTACATTGATGAAGATTGTGGGACGCTTTACAGTAATCATACTGATCTGATAGGGAAATATTTTATCTCCTTGTTGATATGAAGCTGTACATGTTTGATGCTCCTTAGCATACCTGGTGGTTTGATGCTCGTTAGTATGCCTGGTGGTTTGATGCTCGATAGTATGCCTGGTGGTTTGATGCTTGTTAGTATACCTGGTGGTTTGATGCTCGTTAGTATGCCTGGTGGTTTGATGTTCGTTAGTATGCCTGATGGTTTGATGCTCGTCAGTATGCCTGGTGGTTTGATGTTCGTCAGTATGCCTGATGGTTTGATGCTCGTCAGTATGCCTGGTGGTTTGATGTTCGTCAGTATGCCTGGTGGTTTGATGCTCGTTAGTATGCCTGGTGGTTTGATGCTCCTTAGCATACCTGGTGGTTTGATGCTTGTCAGTATGCCTGGTGGTTTGATGCTCGTTAGTATGCCTGGTGGTTTGATGCTCGTTAGTATGCCTGGTGGTTTGATGTTCGTTAGCATACCTGGTGGTTTGATGCTCCTTAGCATACCTGGTGGTTTGATGCTCGTTAGTATGCCTAGTGGTTTGATGCTTGTCAGTATGCCTGGGGGTTTGATGCTCGTTAGTATGCCTGGTGGTTTGATGCTCCTTAGCATACCTGGTGGTTTGATGCTCCTTAGCATACCTGGTGGTTTGATGCTCGTTAGTATGCCTGGTGGTTTGATGTTCGTTAGTATGCCTGATGGTTTGATGCTCGTCAGTATACCTTGTGGTTTGATGCTCGTTAGTATACCTTGTGGTTTGATGCTCGTTAGTATGCCTGGTGGTTTGATGCTCCTTAGCATACCTGGTGGTTTGATGTTCGTCAGTATGCCTGGTGGTTTGATGCTCGTTAGTATACCTGGTGGTTTGATGCTCGTTAGTATGCCTGGTGGTTCGATGCTCGTTAGTGTACCTGGTGGCTTGATGCTCGTTAGTATGCCTGGTGGCTTGATGCTCGTTAGTATGCCTGGTGGTTTGATGCTCGTTAGTGTACCTGGTGGTTTGATGCTCGTTAGTGTGCCTGGTGGTTTGATGCTCGTTATCATACCTAGTGGCTTGATGCTCGTTAGTGTACCTGGTGGCTTGATGCTCGTTAGCATACCTGGGGGTTTGATGCTCGTTAGTATACCTGGTGGTTTGATGCTCGTTAGTATGCCTGGTGGATTTGATGCTCGTTAGCATACCTGGGGGTTTGATGCTCTTTAGTATACCTGGGGATTTGATGCTCGTTAGCATACCTGGTGGTTTGATGCTCGTTAGCATACCTGGTGGTTTGATGCTCGTTACTATACTTGGTGGTTGGGGGGGGGGGGTAGGGGGGTAGCATTACAATACTTAGACTGGAATGTTGATTTTCTTATGCATATCAATTATTAGTCATACAAACTAATGCGTTTCATTAAAAAATACAACAATGAAGGGGGACTGCAAATGTGTACATGAACCTTATGGCGGAAATCATATGACAGTTCCTATTTTTATTTTTGAAATATTTATCTGAATTTAATCATTTTCCTATAGTTCGTTTCCGGAACCTAGTACTCGCTTTCGGTTTAGAGTATAATGTACTTGCAAATGAAGTTGATAATTCGAAAAACAAACTTATTGCGATAATTTTCTTTTCTTTTTTTTGTAGGTCATCAAAATGCTGTTTGCCATCGTGATGTTGTTTCTGCTTTGCTGGGGACCAATCATGTGTAACAATCTCCTAGTGGCACTTGGTGTCCTTGACGACCTTCATATGGGCTACCTAAAGCCTATGCGTCAATTGTTTCTTCTGTTGTCCTACTTCAACAGTTGCGTTAATCCAGTTGTTTACGGGTTCATGTCCAAGAACTTCCGGAACTCCTTTCGGAATACACTGGCACTGGTTTGTGGCCATCAGACGGTAATGACAGTCAACGATAACGGCGTCGTTCGGTATTCATTTCAAACTCGGTCAACATCGTTCATTTCCGGAAGACCCAATTTACAGCTACAGGATTTTACCGGAGATAAAATAAAGACTACAGTACATGAAGTGGAAACGTAATTCATTGTATGGAAATCATTCAATGTCCTAGAGTAGTATATTGAATGCTATTGAGGAGAGGGGGTTCTGGAGCATGGTTAACCATTGGCGGGCATTCGATGCCCTATACACTCCATTACACCTCCTCACTCGCCATGAATTAGTAAAGGAAATTGTAAAATGTACACAAGTTGTACTTGCTCACGACTTCATTCCATGTAATAGTTATAAACGATTTTACATGCATGGAGCTGAATTGAAGTTAAAAGGGATGTGACGTCATAAAACGGTTACGGCGTCCCAACTCATTAACTAATGGTAGTGTAACATTAAGAAATCGTGTCCTCTTCTTTACTTAGTTCATTACAACAACCCTTAACATTCCCGAATTAAGAATGAGTGCCACCGCAACAAGTTAGGGGAATCATATGAAATAAAATTTCAGCATAACAGAGTTCTTTCATTCAAAGACCAATTCTGAACAAAGTGTCTACCATAAGCATGATTCCTTAAGGTCAGACAATTTCCTCTCTTTCAGTCGAATTCCACTTTTGCGATCGACAAAGTTCCCTAATTTCTACTTTCCAACAGAATACAAGACAACTTTCCTGTCATTATAAAACAATAAGGGTTCTTCATGTTTTCGCAATTTTTCATTTCCTCTTGTGTTATTTTCCCCTTAAAAATACATGTACTTTCATTTTCGTCTCATAGGAGCATTATTGAGCAAAAATTTCTATGAGTATATATTCCATTGCTTTCTTTATTCAACAATCTTCATGTTGTTTGTAAAGTGTATTACCGTTTCTTCATCGAACATACTCTGATGAATTTCTGATTGAAGCCCAGTTATCTAACATAATCACTTGTGCTTTCCATTAAAATTCATCATTAATTTGAACCATAATCGATCTCCGACTCGTCATCAAAGACTGAAGGTCGTTATTTTGATCGTTTTAGTTTTTTCGATTTACGAAAAGCTTTGACCAGTTTTCAAGCCATGTTTTATTTTAGGAAAAGTAACCGATATGTCAGGTATGTTATTGATTTGACTTACTGCATCTCGATCGTACAAAGCTTACTGCTATGGTAGCATTACGTACCAGAGATAAAGTGTTTGGTATATCATCCGATCTTAACATAAAGGTGCCCAACAGTATATCAGTATATATAAAGGTATTACTAACAGAAATCGTAGCCATGGAAGGTGAGGTGTTTTAAGACTCATTTGATATATGTTTGTCCCTATATAGGTTTTAAAACATGTCTGCAGTTGCATAGCGTATCGCATTTGTTTGTAGTAACAATTATAAAAGTTCTTATCTAAATTAGATATTATTCTAACTGAACGATTACAACTTTCATATCATGTCTATTTCTTATGCATTAAAATAGTTATGGACACAAAAGAAAAAAAGGCCAGATTAAATCTGTGATTAAAAAGTGCGAACAAACGACGACTCCACTATAGCTGTATATACTCTCTGAAGCGACCAAGCAACATTGCCATGACGACGCCACTTTATCTGTAAATTATCTCTGACGCGACAAAACAACAATGCCTTGACGACGCCACTTTATCTGTAAATTATCTCTGACGTGACAAAACAACAATGCCTTGACGACTCCACTATAGCTGTATATATTCTCTGAAGCGACCAAGCAACATTGCCATGACGACGCCACTTTATCTGTAAATTATCTCTGACGCGACAAAACAACAATGCCTTGACGACGCCATCAAATCTGTAAATTATCTCTGACGTGACAAAACAACATTGCCATGACGACGCCACTTTATCTGTAAATTATCTCTGACGTGACAAAACAACAATGCCTTGACGACGCCACTTTATCTGTAAATTATCTCTGACGTGACAAAACAACAATGCCTTGACGACGCCACTTTATCTGTAAATTATCTCTGACGTGACAAAACAACAATGCCTTGACGACGCCACTTTATCTGTAAATTATCTCTGACGTGACAAAACAACAATGCCTTGACGACGCCACTTTATCTGTAAATTATCTCTGACGTGACAAAACAACAATGCCTTGACGACGCCACTTTATCTGTAAATTATCTCTGACGTGACAAAACAACAATGCCTTGACGACGCCACTTTATCTGTAAATTATCTCTGACGCGACAAAACAACAATGCCTTGACGACGCCACTTTATCTGTTAATTATCTCTGACGTGACAAAACAACAATGCCTTGACGACGCCACTTTATCTGTAAATTATCTCTGACGTGACAAAACAACAATGCCTTGACGACGCCACTTTATCTGTAAATTATCTCTGACGTGACAAAACAACAATGCCTTGACGACGCCACTTTATCTGTAAATTATCTCTGACGTGACAAAACAACAATGCCTTGACGACGCCACTTTATCTGTAAATTATCTCTGACGTGACAAAACAACAATGCCTTGACGACGCCACTTTATCTGTAAATTATCTCTGACGTGACAAAACAACAATGCCTTGACGACGCCACTTTATCTGTAAATTATCTCTGACGTGACAAAACAACAATGCCTTGACGACGCCACTTTATCTGTAAATTATCTCTGACGCGACAAAACAACAATGCCTTGACGACGCCACTTTATCTGTAAATTATCTCTGACGCGACAAAACAACAATGCCTTGACGACGCCACTTTATCTGTTATTTATCTCTGACGCGACAAAACAACAATGCCTTGACGACGCCACTTTATCTGTAAATTATCTCTGACGCGACAAAACAACAATGCCTTGACGACGCCATCAAATCTGTAAATTACCTCTAAAGCGACCAAGCAACATTGCCATGACGACGCCACTTTATCTGTTAATTATCTCTGACGCGACAAAACAACAATGCCTTGACGACGCCACTTTATCTGTTAATTATCTCTGACGCGACAGAACAACAATGCCTTGACGACGCCACTTTATCTGTAAATTATCTCTGACGCGACAAAACAACAATGCCTTGACGACGCCACTTTATCTGTAAATTATCTCTAAAGCGACCAAGCAACAATGCCTTGACGACGCCACTTTATCTGTAAATTATCTCTGACGTGACAAAACAACAATGCCTTGACGACGCCACTTTATCTGTAAATTATCTCTGACGTGACAAAACAACAATGCCTTGACGACGCCACTTTATCTGTAAATTATCTCTGACGTGACAAAACAACAATGCCTTGACGACGCCACTTTATCTGTAAATTATCTCTGACGTGACAAAACAACAATGCCTTGACGACGCCACTTTATCTGTAAATTATCTCTGACGTGACAAAACAACAATGCCTTGACGACGCCACTTTATCTGTAAATTATCTCTGACGTGACAAAACAACAATGCCTTGACGACGCCACTTTATCTGTAAATTATCTCTGACGTGACAAAACAACAATGCCTTGACGACGCCACTTTATCTGTAAATTATCTCTGACGTGACAAAACAACAATGCCTTGACGACGCCACTTTATCTGTAAATTATCTCTGACGTGACAAAACAACAATGCCTTGACGACGCCACTTTATCTGTAAATTATCTCTGACGTGACAAAACAACAATGCCTTGACGACGCCACTTTATCTGTAAATTATCTCTGACGTGACAAAACAACAATGCCTTGACGACGCCACTTTATCTGTAAATTATCTCTGACGTGACAAAACAACAATGCCTTGACGACGCCACTTTATCTGTAAATTATCTCTGACGTGACAAAACAACAATGCCTTGACGACGCCACTTTATCTGTAAATTATCTCTGACGTGACAAAACAACAATGCCTTGACGACGCCACTTTATCTGTAAATTATCTCTGGCGCGACAAAACAACAATGCCTTGACGACGCCACTTTATCTGTTATTTATCTCTGACGCGACAAAACAACAATGCCTTGACGACGCCACTTTATCTGTAAATTATCTCTGACGCGACAAAACAATGCCTTGACGACGCCATCAAATCTGTAAATTACCTCTAAAGCGACCAAGCAACATTGCCATGACGACGCCACTTTATCTGTTAATTATCTCTGACGCGACAAAACAACAATGCCTTGACGACGCCACTTTATCTGTAAATTATCTCTGACGCGACAGAACAACAATGCCTTGACGACGCCACTTTATCTGTAAATTATCTCTGAAGCGACCAAACAACAATGCCTTGACGACGCCACTTTATCTGTAAATTATCTCTAAAGCGACCAAGCAACATTGCCATGACGACGCCACTTTATCTGTAAATTATCTCTGACGTGACAAAACAACAATGCCTTGACGACGCCACTTTATCTGTAAATTATCTCTGAAGCGACCAAACAACAATGCCTTGACGACGCCACTTTATCTGTTATTTATCTCTGAAGCGACAAAACAACAATGCCTTGACGACGCCACTTTATCTGTAAATTATCTCTGACGCGACAAAACAACAATGCCTTGACGACTCCATCAAATCTGTAAATTATCTCTAAAGCGACCAAGCAACATTGCCATGACGACGCCACTTTATCTGTTAATTGTCTCTGACGCGACAGAACAACAATGCCTTGACGACGCCACTTTATCTGTAAATTATCTCTGAAGCGACCAAAGAACAATGCCTTGACGACTCCATCAAATCTGTAAATTATCTCTAAAGCGACCAAGCAACATTGCCATGACGACGCCACTTTATCTGTTAATTATCTCTGACGCGACAAAACAACAATACCTTGACGACGCCACTTTATCTGTAAATTATCTCTGACGCGACCAAACAACAATGCCTTGACGACGCCACTTTATCTGTTAATTGTCTCTGACGCGACAGAACAACAATGCCATGACGACGCCACTTTATCTGTAAATTATCTCTGACGCGACCATTGATGGATCAACTATACCTATGTATTATCTCTAAAGCGATCAAGGTAACAAAACATTTATCAAATAAGACTAAGCTAACAACGCATTCACAAGTCAACTTTTCCTATTAATCATCAC